GTGACAGCAGGTGGAAGAGGGGGGGTGGTGTGACAGCAGGTGGAAGGAGAGGGGGGGGGTGACAGCAGGTGGAAGGGGGGGGAGGGGAAGGGTCTCCGGTGCCAAGGTTCTCAGGGGATCACCACCAACACTTCTATTGTTCACTCAGCCGGAAGAGTAGGTGGAGTGCGAGGCGGGTTGCTTGCCTCTATGTGGGAGCCGCGGCAGGCGCGTGTGTACTCACCTCTCTCAGCCTGCCACGGTTGAACTTCAACTCCTGGACCTCTCACCCTTCGGGTCCCCACATGCTCCCTACCCCCTTGGGCAATGCTTGACTATCTACTCCTTCATTAGTAGGAGTAGATAGACAAGGAGTTCATCTACTCCTCGGTATGGACCGAGCCTCGCCTAATTCTTCTATATGCTTCTTCACCCTGAAGATAAAGTTTGCTATAATATCGCTCGGTCTATCACTTGGGTGTTGTTTTGCGCCCTTTCGCTCGGTCTCTCTCTAGTATCAGACTATCTATATTTGCCCTCTAGAGTTCCCCTAAGTACTTCGTACGTCGTGATTATGTTTCCTCTGTTTCTTCTCTCCAGTGACGCGAGGCTCAATTTCTTAGTGTGTTTCAGTAACTAAACTCTTAGCTCTGGCACTAGTCTGGTAGTACGACTCTTGTGTGTGTGTGTGTGTGTGTGTGTGCGCGTGTGTGTGTGTGTGTGTGCGCGCGCGTGTGTGTGTGTGTGTGTGTGTGTGTGTGTGTGTGCGTGTGTGTGCGCGCGTGTGTGTGTGTGTGTGTGTGTGTGTGTGTGTGTGTGTGTGTGTGTGTGTGTGTGTGTGTGTGTGTGTGTGTGTGCGTGTGTGTGCGCGTGTGTGTGTGTGTGTGTGTGTGTGTGTGTGTGTACTCACCTAGTTGTGTGTGAGTGAGAATAACTGCCCTTGACTGTGGCAGCGGTAGAGAATATATACACGAGTCCTGAAACCGAAAGGCTGACAAGAGAGAAGAAAAAGAGCGCTCATCAGAGTAAACATGACGCGGCGTTCACACAAAACGCACGAGTAACTAACACAAAGTTACGTCGTTCGTAACACAAAAGTTCGTAGTACAAACAAAAAGACTATCCATAAGTTAAAAAAAAAAAATGTCACGTTTATGAGGCATAAAATAATGTTTATAAGACAGGGACAAAGTATGAGACTAACAGGTTTGTGAGTCAGACTTGTGAGGAGCACTTAAGAGTCAACTACCATTGATAAACCACCTCTCCATCAGCAATGTCACTCAGGGCCACGTGTCGAGTAGTGCCATCCGGGGCCACAAGACAAGCAGCGCCACAACCTTGCTCTTTGACCAAACCGGTCCACCACAAGATTCACCACCAAGGGATCGAACCCTCTTAATCTTGTAACTTACCCTCTGAGCAGAAGAGTAGCTTCAGGAGCCACAGCTGCCAGTCGTGCGGGTACCATGAAGCACACACTATAGCCACTGCGGAAGGTGGTGGTGGCGGGGGGGGGGGGGTGGAGCAGAGGGTGGTGACGTCTAGACGTGCCTGGGACAGGAGGGGGGCGTGGGAAGGCGTCGGGAGACAGTAGCAAGGCAGGAGAGCTGTCATGGGAGACGGACTCCGTGTCGACCATGGCAAGAACAACTGACATAGCTCAAGGCACCATATTAGCACACATTTCTTACCACACATACTTGGGTGTGTATGATAAGAAATGCACGCACCCTTCAAGAAATGCACGCACCTTTCAAGAAATGCACGCACCCTTCAAGAAATGCACGCACCTTCCAAGAAATGCACGCACCCTTCAAAATTTAAAAACTCAGATGTTTGCAACAAGATTGGCGCAAGACCTATAAGGAAGATTTAAGCTGCACAAATAGGCTCATGGAACTAAATCTCACAACCCTAGATAATGGAAGGAACAGAGGAGACATGATCCCAACATACTAGATGCCGAGGGGGGGGAATAGATAAGGCGGACAAGGACAGTTTCTTCAAAATAAGAGAGAGTAGGACAAGAGGACACAGGTGGAAACAGGAAAGCAATGTAAAGAAATACTTGTGGCCGGTACCGGTAGCCAACATGTGGAATACACTTAAAGGATAAGTTGTAGAAGCCGCCTCCATCCACAACTTTAACGTCAGATTCGACAGGGAATTTGAACGTCAGAATAGTTCAATGATAACGCCACAGGTGCTACAAGGCGAGTATAGGTGGGGCATGAGGAGTAAGTCCTCACTCCCCCCCCCCCCTCGTAGTCACTGATAGGTAAACACTGTTAGGAAATATCATCCTCCATCCTCCTCCATCCTCTATCCTCCTCCTCCTCCACCTCAGTGTCCAGGCAATATGCTCCTTGCGTGCCGTTACAGCACTGAACACTTCCAAAGGGTCAGCTACCTCGCACTCACTCTCCTTGTCTCTTTGTCCTCACCCCTCACGGCCCTCACACTGCACCCTCACCCTCCACCTTCCCACCCACTCTTCCTTCTGCACACACACTCGCAAACGTGACCGCACACTCACAAACACATGTACATTTTCAGTTCTTAGACGGGCTTAAACACACACACACACACACAACACACATACACACACACACACACACACACACACACACACACACACACACACACACACACACACACACACACACACACACACACACACGCACACACCCACGCACACGCACACACACCCACACACACGCACACACACCCACGCACACGCGCACACACCCACGCACACGCGCACACACCCACGCACACGCGCACACACCCACGCACACGCGCACACACCCACGCACACGCGCACACACCCACGCACACGCGCACACACCCACGCACATGTAAGGAAGATGAGGGAGCGTGTCTGGAGGCGGGCGACCTTGGGAACATTGTTGATGCTGCCTCATCACACCTTGTCTTCCCAGACTGACCTTAGCCTTCTGGGTGGACCGTGACCTTGCTGGTGGACCGTGACCTTGCTGGTGGACAGTGACCTTGCTGGTGGACAGTGACCTTGCTGGTGGACAGTGACCTTGCTGGTGGACAGTGACCCTGCTGGTGGACAGTGACCTTGCTGGTGGACAGTGACCTTGCTGGTGGACAGTGACCTTGCTGGTGGACAGTGACCCTGCTGGTGGACAGTGACCTTGCTGGTGGACAGTGACCTTGCTGGTGGACAGTGACCTTGCTGGTGGACAGTGACCCTGCTGGTGGACAGTGACCCTGCTGGTGGACAGTGACCTTGCTGGTGGACCGTGACCCTGCTGGTGGACAGTGACCTTGCTGGTGGACAGTGACCCTGCTGGTGAACAGTGACCTTGCTGGTGGACAGTGACCTTGCTGGTGGACAGTGACCTTGCTGGTGGACAGTGACCTTGGTGGTGGACAGTGACCTTGCTGGTGGACAGTGACCCTGCTGGTGGACAGTGACCTTGCTGGTGGACAGTGACCTTGCTGGTGGACAGTGACCCTGCTGGTGGACAGTGACCTTGCTGGTGGACAGTGACCCTGCTGGTGGACAGTGACCTTGCTGGTGGACAGTGACCTTGCTGGTGGACCGTGACCTTGCTGGTGGACAGTGACCTTGCTGGTGGACAGTGACCCTGCTGGTGGACAGTGACCTTGCTGGTGGACAGTGACCCTGCTGGTGGACAGTGACCTTGCTGGTGGACAGTGACCCTGCTGGTGAACAGTGACCTTGCTGGTGGACAGTGACCTTGCTGGTGGACAGTGACCCTGCTGGTGGACAGTGACCTTGCTGGTGGACAGTGACCCTGCTGGTGGACAGTGACCTTGCTGGTGGACAGTGACCTTGCTGGTGGACCGTGACCTTGCTGGTGGACAGTGACCTTGCTGGTGGACAGTGACCCTGCTGGTGGACAGTGACCTTGCTGGTGGACAGTGACCTTGCTGGTGGACAGTGACCCTGCTGGTGGACAGTGACCTTGCTGGTGGACAGTGACCCTGCTGGTGAACAGTGACCTTGCTGGTGGACAGTGACCCTGCTGGTGGGCAGTGACCTTGCTGGTGGACAGTGACCTTGCTGGTGGACAGTGACCCTGCTGGTGGACAGTGACCTTGCTGGTGGACAGTGACCCTGCTGGTGGGCAGTGACCTTGCTGGTGGACAGTGACCCTGCTGGTGGACAGTGACCTTGCTGGTGGACAGTGACCATGCTGGTGGACAGTGACCTTGCTGGTGGACAGTGACCCTGCTGGTGAACAGTGACCCTGCAAGCGGACAGTGACACCGTCTCCCCAGCATCAAGAAGCGCAATTAGCAAGATAAAAGATAAGTGTTTTATTCACCATCAAAGTGAACGCTTCCTCGCGAGACTCCATTACGAGAGAGAGAGCAGCGCTGCTGACGACGAAACCTTCTGAAGAACGATACTGAGCGTTCAGCAGCCGTGACATGACAGTGTCATGTCATGGCCTCTGGCACTGCCTCATGGCACACCTGGGGTCATGTCATATTGCACGAGTCTTCCAGTCTTAGTACAAGTCCGGATACGCTAGGTCAAGTCCCCAGATCCAGTCCGGATAGGCTGGGTCAAGTCCCAGACTAAGTCCGGATACGCTGGGTCAAGTCCCAGACCAAGTCCGGATACGTTAGGTCAAGTCCCAGACCAAGTCCGGATACGTTAGGTCAAGTCCCAGACCAAGTCCGGACACGTTAGGTCAAGTCCCAGACCAAGTCCGGATACGCTAGGTCCCAGACCCGTCAAGTCCCACACCAAGTCCTTAATTACCCCCCGTCACGTCCAAACCCAAGTCCCATGAACTTACATAAAGCGGGCCCCTCGAACCAGTGCCAAACATTGATACCGTCCTTAGCCAGATTCATCGTCTTCCACGACACATTGAACGTGCTTCAGGACGTGCCTGTACATATACACATACGTGCACTGCTCGTGCAACCTGCTAACCACAACAAACTTGTTGAACACTGTATCTCACGCGAGACTTAACACCGCTTTAAACCCCCCTAAATACTGGCAGTAACAAGTATATTGTCTTCTCTTAATGAAGTTAACCTGACGGCGCGACTCGTCCAGGCAGCAGACCGCAAGACCTTCCAGCAGCAGCGGTACACAGCAGACCACAAGACCTTCCAGCAGCAGAGGTATACAGCAGACCACAAGACCTTCCAGCAGCAGCGGTACACAGCAGACCACAAGACCTTCCAGCAGCAAGGGTACACAGCAGACCACAAGACCTTCCAGCAGCAAGGGTACACAGCAGACCACAAGACCTTCCAGCAGCAGGGGTATACAGCAGACTGTAAGACCTTCCAGCAGCAGCGGTACACAGCAGACCACAAGACCTTCCAGCAGCAAGGGTACACAGCATACCACAAGACCTTCCAGCAGCAGCGGTACACAGCAGCACAAGACCTTCCAGCAGCAGCGGTACACACCAGACCACAAGACCTTCCAGCAGCAAGGGGTACACAGCAGCACAAGACCTTCCAGCAACAGCGGTACACAGCAGACCACAAGACCTTCCAGCAGCAAGGGGTACACAGCAGCACAAGACCTTCCAGCAACAGCGGTACTCAGCAGCACAAGACCTTACAGCAACAGCGGTACACAGCAGCACAAGACCTTCCAGCAACAGCGGTACACAGCAGACCACAAGACCTTCCAGCAGTAAACAAGAACAAAGATGCAACTCCTTTTCCGTTACCTGGGTGACCGTCACACAGAGGAAGGAACCATCTTGAGATGCCTGACGAACTTCTCAAAGGAGGAGGAGGAACTGCACCTTCAGGCGCCTGGGTGATCCTCCCAGAGCGAGAGAGAGCTCACTACCCGGAGTCTACAGGTGTATTGTGTACCGGGCATACAAGGGGAGGGGGGACGGTCAGGGGGTAGCCGGGGGCGACGGCCCCAGCAAGACTAGAGGACGCGGGCAGCAGCTGCCCGGCGCAGTGACTCAGCGGCTCACTCACAAAAGGAAGCTCCCTCCCAGACGTCCACTCTCAATACCACTATTTAAAAAATGCAATATTACCACCTCAAAAGATTTACCTTAAGATTAATTAAAGAACCCGCAAAATTATTAATGGCTGTAAACAATAGCCCTCTCCAGCTAAGATATTAATTAGTGCTAAGAATAATACAACTGTTACGATTATAATTAATATATATATATATATATATATATATATATATATATATATATATATATATATATATATATATATATATATTAGTATATTTTGGTAGCAGTCTTTCCTGTAGACATAAATTATTAAATATGACCGAAAAAGTAAGATTAATAATTCTAACACGAATTTTCTCAATCTTTCGTACATTACGCTTCACTGTTGGAGGTAAATCAAAAATCAATTCTCCAAAATTCATTTTTATTTCTAGTCTGACGCGACACGAGCGCGTTTCGTAAAACTTATTACATTTTCAAAGACTTTAGTTCACAAATACACAACTGAATAGAACTTACGTATCTCCGATTTTATATCTACATTTGAGTGAGGTGGAAGGGGTGATGTGGCATTAACACAAGACAGAACAAAATGTGGTATTAATAGGTATTAATAAAAATGAATTTTGGAGAATTGATTTTTGATTTACCTCCAACAGTGAAGCGTAATGTACGAAAGATTGAGAAAATTCGTGTTAGAATTATTAATCTTACTTTTTCGGTCATATTTAATAATAATATATATATATATATATATATATATATATATATATATATATATATATATATATATATATATATATATATATATATATATATATATATATATATACCCACTTCAAGACCCTGCGAAAACGCATACCTAGACGTTAGACCATATTAATTGTGAAAATGAACTTTGGACAGTTAATTTTTCAACTTCCCTCGACAGTGAAGAAAAACATAAGAAATATTGAGAAGATTCGTGTTAGAATCATTAATCTTACCTTTTCGGTCGTACGTGCATTATCTTGAAATGATAGTGTACATAGTAATATTTGGGGTCAAAAGTACCAAATAGTTGCTTTAAATGGGGCGGAAAGAGGAGTAAGGGGGGAGGGGAGATAGGGAAAAAATATGGAAATAGGTGGAGAGTATGTGAGAAAATGGAGAATTTTTTATTTTTTTAATTATAATTTTACTTCCACGCTTGCAACAGTAAACATAATCTTGGATAAAATATTAGATTATTTACTCTACCCTGATTGCAGAACCCAAGTGATTCAATACATTGTTTTCATTGGATACGTGGAAGAGGTAAGTGGGACGGGTTCACATTACCATCGACAGCAAGCCTCCTCCAGCACCTCTGTCGAGACTATTTTGTCTGGGAGAGTCGCACACAGAAGAGTCGCACACCTCAACAAGAACAACAAACTTGAAAATGTGCAAAGTTTTCAAGGAGGCTGATCCTGGTAACTTGGGTTGAGACATGAGAAGAAGAACAAGGAAGTGAACGCAACATGAAGGTAGAGAGAACAGATATAAAATACTTACAGGATTACAGGAGAATAAAATACTTACAGGAGGCGACAGGATGGGAAAATAGTCATTTTTTGCACTCAATAACACTAGCAAGAAAAACCATTGATGTAAGTTAAAAAATATTTGTTATGGAGATGAAAAAATAAAATTGGTTAAGCTTGGGACAGGCTAAATATGAAAATGGAATGAGCTAAATAAGGAGGCCCTTAAGTCAATACACAATTTCAAAAGTTGATAAGTAACCAGAGCGTATGTACCGGTATGTCGTGATCAAGTCCCACCTCTCATCTCGCACTTCCACGCCACAATGGAACATTTTTGTATTTTAGTAATTTATGCATACTATTGCCGTGTGAAAATATATATTTATTTATTTATATTCCATCATAATTATCTCTGAATGGAATACTTACACATGTAATTGTTTTGCCGAGTGAGTGGAGGTTCTTGTTTACCGGACCATCAGCTAGGGACTAACTACCTAACCAGCGTGTTACACCTTGGGGTAACAAGGTGTGCGTTTGAAGAATGTCCCTCCCCCCCCCCCCCTCGGGCAAAGCCCCTGTCAAATAACGAGATATAACAATAAATCAGCGCTGATCCAACCTTACTTTAATGTTGTTCTACCACATAAGAGTTGATCATGCGAGACACAGTGAATGTTGAATGGCACGAGACAGTTTGTTATTAGTCCTGGCGTCCTCTTCCTCCAGGACTCGTGTGGTAATTTGTCCTTAATGTTGACCACACTACACACTAGAAGGTGAAGGGACGACGACGTTTCGGTCCGCCCTGGACCATTCTCAAGTCGATTGTGTACCTTCCTTGCATTAAGGAATGTAAGGAATGTTGTCCTTACATGTAAGGAATGTTGTCCTTACATGTAAGGAATGTTGTCCTTAATGTACCTTCGGCAATGGCAAAGCTTTTGCCAAGTCTTTCGTACCTCAGTCTCCTCAAGACATATTTTTAATTTGATTTTCCAACCCATAATAATGTTACAAGTATTCACAGAAGAATTGAAGACTAAATGTATTTTTGAGGTGACAGAAGAATGGGAAGCCGAATGGTTGGCGTGTAGACCTACTGGTACTTACTGAAAAATTAAGGTGACATTCTTATTTTAATGTTCATTAGGCCTATGAGAGGCTAGGCCTAACGCTATACTGCAACCAATTTCATTTTGTTATAGAGGAAAACGCTCTAACAACATCATTCTCAGCGCCTGAAAAAACTCTAAACTATATTTAAAAAAAATAAACATAATCAAGTCACACAGCGAACAAACACTGAATAAAACAACGCAACACGTTAGCACAGCATAAAGCACAGCAAAAGTGAAGCTCAGCACAACACTCCGCAACACAGCACCAAGAGACGTAACCCACTTCGCTACAACCTCAGCGGGCACAAGCCTTTAATAATAAACAATTAAGAGTGGTTTTTGTTCTTGCCTCTGCGGCACAAATTAGAAAGCAGGAAGCTAGGCTTGCCCGCCGACAGGAGAAACCTGTAGTGGGAGTCAAGATATTCAAACTCGGTCCCGTGTTTACCAGGGAGCGGGTGGCGGGGAGGCCTCAGCACCACAAGTATGTTGACCAGACCACACACTAGAATTTGAAGGGACGACGACGTTTCGGTCCGTCCTGGACCATTCTCAAGTCGATTGTGGTCAAGTCATTCTCACAATCGACTTGAGAATGGTCCAGGACGGACCGAAACGTCGTCGTCCCTTCAAATTCTAGTGTGTGGTCTGGTCAACATACTTCAGCCACGTTATTGTGACTCATCGCCTGCATATGGTGACCACATGTATGTATATGTATTACAAAAAAAAATATGTAACTAGTTTCACAAAGATTGTTATTGGCTTAGCTAAATGAACTGTGCTGTTCTGAACCTGTCATGTGGCTCTGTAACCCCTTTCCACCGCCGTCCACGGGATGGGTATGGGGCGCATACTAAATGACTAAACTAAACAAGACACTACACGACAACGCCGCAGTCTTCCTCGCCACTCGACGGAACGAGGCGGGGTGGAAGAGAACGTTAGATTCAAAAAACGCCGAAGCGATGGGAGAGGTGGCGGTCAAGGGATGAAAACATAACTCGTAGGATAGGCTAGTTACTCCTAGGATAGGAGAGAATATTCTAGTTGCTCATTGAATAAGGAAGGATAGGCTACTTGTAAAAGAGGAAGAGTAGGCTAATTACTCGTAGAAGGGACTGTCTAGTTACTCGTAGGAGAGTGGAGGAGAGGCTACTACCACTACTACCTCACAAGGAAAGGGGGAAGCCAGTCTACCAATTTACACCAAACATTAATAAACACCAAAAGTTATACTACTACATAATAGATCTGGTGGTGTTATTTCGACAGTCTGCCGAAGTATGGGGACATATTAAGTAATCCACTGGGGTCTGTATTCATAAAAATGGTCAAGAACCCCTGGACTAAAATACTCTTAGGAGAGAGGAGGATAGGTTATATTACCCACCTAACCCACATATACTACCAACCCAACCCACAAATATGGAAATAAAGGAAAATGGCGACGTTTCGGTCCATCTTAGACCATCATTAAGTCGTATATAGGCTAGATATCTTTATTCAACCCGTTCTCGCACTTTCGTATAGTCAATATTGACTTATTAAATACGTGCATTTGTGACATACTAATTTATTGTGAATATTTTAGTTTACCTTGAAAAGCTTCATAGAAAACACCGACCTTATCTAACCTTCTTAGTATGTTAAGATAAGCATCTTACTGCTTCGTAATTACAATTATTACTTAACCTATTATAGGTACTTAGCCTATTATAGGTACTTAACCTATTATAGGTATAGGTTAAGTAATAATTGTTTTTACGAAGCAATAAGATGCTTATCTTAACATACTAAGAAGGTTAGGTAAGGTCGGTGTTTTCTATGAAGCTTTTCAAGGTAAACTAAAATATTCACAATAAATTAGTATGTCACATATGCACTTATTTAATAAGTCAATATTGACTGTAAGAAAGTGCGAGAACGGGTTGCTTTATTAGAGCGAAGAATAGGTTAGATACTGCCACGAGAGGACTTACTAGCTAGTTTCTAGAGGGGTTCGGGAAAAATACAGGAAAAGCAACGTTAGAATAAAAGTTAAAAAGAAGGAAGATGGTACAAAAGAGATTGGCAGAAAAAAAAGATAATCAAGGGGATTAGAATGGAGGTGAATTTTGA